ATTGGCAGTCAATTTTTGTTATAATTTCAACTTTGTTAGAAAATTAGATTTATTCGTATTTGTTTTACTATATATTTCTCAAAAAAATATTTTTTAAAAGAGAAAGAGAAAAAGTATACATATGTAAATATGCAAATTAATAAATACATAAACCAGCTAACTAAAATAATATAAGAAATAAAATAATTTAAATAATATAAATTATTTAGATATAAATTATATTCATATGTAAAACAAAATATACTTTAATTTGAATACGTTATACGTTAATTTAAATACACATTTTCCCGAAAATTATTCTAAATAAAGATATATAATTTAATATAAGTTAGAATCAAAATAAAAAAATAAGAAGAAAGAAGGAAAAAGATAGTATAAATGATCAGAGGATATATAATAAATTATATCGCGATATAATTAAGTATATAATTAATTATATCATACAAAATCATAAATTATAATTATAAAATGTGTTTTTCGGGAAACACGGTTCGTTGACGTTATACGTATCTAAACAATCATGGATTAGTCTGCTTGCTAATATGGTAAATGTATTTACAAGTTTACAAATATATACAGATCACAGAAGATATAAACTTGCGAGTCTTCCGCTATAGCTTGATACAATTCGCTTAATAGGATATTTTGGTTTTAAGACGGCTTCTTCTAGGCTCACAACACACGTTTCTCACTTATGTGCATTCGCGCGAACATGCGCGTATTTTCGCGTCATGCACGCTTAAGCACATCGTGAAAATTACGCCTTTTTTTCTCTTTGTCAGATACATAAAATTATTTATATTAAAATATTTTTACATTTGGAAATTGTTACAGATTATAATTATTACGAATTTTATATATATATATATTGTAGGCAGATGAAAATAATAATGCAATAAATTACAGAATGTAATTAATAATTAATGTTGCAAATAAATTATTGAAAATTATCAAAAGTTTCAATGTAAACGATTCTTCAATAAAATTCAATAGCAAATATTATAAGCCATTTTTATTATAATATTGCATCTCGTATTATACATGCGCGCACGATATAGGAAATAGCGATAACAATTTATATTTTTCAAATATATATGTAGATTACATTGTATATATGTATATGTGTATGTATATAATGAATTCTATTATTCAAATTTTAAACTTTGGTTAACCTGGCATCTTCACTATGAGAAATTCGAATGTATGACATAATTAAGTATTAATTTAATCATGTCATATATTCGAATGATATAATTAAATTGCTAATTTGTTGTTTTAATCCCAAATTTAAAAAAATTAAATTCCTATCAATTTTATTTTTTATCTTAATCTCGAGAAAAGTTTAAATAATCGAAAGCGCGTTGATATTACAAGAAAAACTAGGAAATTGGAGATGCTAACGTAATGTTAGATTAGTATCTATATTTTTAATATTAATTTCATACTAATTCGTAGGAATAAGAGATTCGAGATTAGAACAACAAATTAACAATAAATTAGCATTTATTAATACGTCTCTTATTTTTATCTGATATGGAAACTATCAAATAAACTGATAAATAAATATCACGTATAGTTTTTCGACGTATTCATATGACTTTAGTCAAGTGATTAAGCAATATAAACACATTCCCGATAACTTCTGTAACTTTACATTTTTTTAGTAACCAAGCACAAAGTACAATTTTGTTCTTCGATATTTAAACATAAATTGTTTTATCATCTTACAAAACCATACGCACACATACGCCCGTTTCAAATGCATCTCTATTTATAGCATCGTCTATAAATGCAATCTTTGATGATAACGTATCAACAAAAAGCTATTGATATCGATTGGTGATTTTTAATAATTGCATATGTGATGGAAATTCATAGAAAATTAATACTTAAATCCGTATTTGCCCATGTCGCGAAAACAATTTAATCCCTACCGATAAGCGCTTAATAGTGATTATGTAAAACCGTATAACGTAACGCGTAAGCAGAAAACGTAAGCACGACGGTATTACGTTATAACAGCCTCGATATAATAAAGTAATACTTCATTAAACTGTAATCGCGCGCACAAAGAAACATATGTGCAATCAACGAAGAGTCAGCATCATGATAGTTAATAAATTGTCAGTGAGATATTTTATCTATTATTGTGTACATATCGATATAGTATGATATAATGTAAATCAATGGATCGATAAATTTATCTGGAAAGAATGGCCAATTAAATTCTATTCGCGACGAATCGATAATGTTACCGCGCCAAGTATAATAATTCACTTACATTCTGCGATAATTTGGCCATCGCATTGATCAATAATATTGTCGATGTAACTGTCCCGTGATAAAATTTCGAAGCTACTCCAAGAAAATTAATTACGCAAGAGTGATTGATAAAGAGATTGACTGATATAAATTTTGTAAATAAATACATGCATTTTTAAGATATTTTAACAAACGTTATTTAGTCAATATTATCTGGAATATCATTTAAAAAATATATTATCATCCAAAAGAAATGTAGAAAAATTCATAAATGTAAACGATATTTTGGAAGCATATTTTCAATAAATATGGATATTAGATTATTTTAATGATATGTCTTCATATATTTTAATAAGTCTCAAAAATAAATTAAAATTTAATTTAAAAAAGTTTTAAAAAATGAGGTTTTTTGATCATTTCTTTTTTTGCGCGTTTAAATCAAATTAAATCAAAAGCAAAAAAAAAAAATAAAGCAAAAAAATTTTTTTATATGTTTAAAGAAAAAGTTCGGGGTGTAAAAGAATTACAGGAAAAGCTTCAAAAAAACAATAACGTTCTACAGTGATAAATAGTCACGTAGTTACGGATTAATTGCCGTAATAGGAGAACATGGGAAAATTGACAGCTCGCTGCAGGGACCACGGTTGCCCTTATTTACATAGAGATTAAAATGATTTAATACCCGCTCGATCGCACCGTCTGGCTTCCATTACAAGCTGTCCTCGCGGTCGAGCTGACCTCACACAACTTAAACGCTGCTTTCGTTTAGGATCGTTTCAGGATCAGTTTCACCTTGAATTCAGAAGCGTACATACGAGACGTATGACGCTTCCAATCAAGTGCGTACCGATCCTTCCGATACATTTAACATGTTCGAAAGATTCAAGCACATTTTATGCGTAAATATAAGAGTAGATTTCTTTTAATATAATCCGATAAAAATGTTAAACAATTGCTCCTGAATAAAAGCGTTGAATGATAATTATTTTTAGAAGACGATTGATTATAAAAAGAAATTTAAATCAAATAAATTAAGGAAATTCTATTTTTCAATTTTATTCTGTAACTTTCGATGAATTTTAGTTCTGACAAAATCTTGATTTAAACAGTTATTTAACTCGCAACATATCTCAAATTTTCAAAATTTTGAGAACTATAAAAAAAGAACTATTGTATAATATAATATAGCATATAATATAATATAGCAAAAAGTATAATATAAAACTAAAAATAACAATATAAAGAACTATAAAAGAATTATAAAAGAACTATAAAGAAAAAAAAAACGAAAATTATTCATTTTCAAGAAGACATTCTATTCACATGCGTCCTGAATACTCTGTATTATTACGAAATACTCTCGAGAAAAAAGCAAAAGTTTGTAGAATGCAATTAAATAGCGAAGTTTTATTATTTCATTTAAAAATTCAAATTTTATATATGATTTCATTATTTTTAAATCTTATTATCTCATCTTAAAAGCGGATTTCACTTTTTAATTGTAGATTTAAATTATCAAGGCATTTTTTAAATAAAAAGAATTCATCATATATTAGGAAGTATGTAGGTATAAAATTCATCCGAAAATCTATCGTTAAAATTGAGGCTGCAGTTTCAGTGACATTTTGTGTTTTAATTATTTTATTCCTTTTCTGTTTTAATTATTTCATAATATTTCAGACTAGATTTATTCACGAGTGAGCGTATGCATTTCCGTTGAATCGCGCACGCGAGCTGCATACGCCACGATGCATCGCGAAACGCACGGTATGGAGCGAATGTAACGATCTGGGCGGCGAGAATGGAAAGGCGAACGGCAGATCGAACACCGAAGATTCATGTGTATGTGCGTGAAACGCATCCGATAATTAGGTGAGAGAGAGAGAGAGAGAGAGAGAGAGAGATTTCTGGAAGGCAAATTCTTTAGTGAATTTCTAGAAATAATTTTTTCACCATAAAACTATTTTAGCATATCTTTAATTTCTATCATATATCAGAGTATAATAAAGTCTGAATTAATATGTCCTCAAACTGTGGAATCCACTTTAGAAATAAGGTCAAATTAAATTAGAATATTTTAAATGTGTGTCATATATAGAGAGAATAAAAGATAAAAAGAATTTGGTAGATATTAATTATTTTTTTTACATTATATATGATAATAAAAAAATAAAATATGTTTTTCTTCAAATTCTAACGTCAATATTGTATACGTGTGTGTGTGAGATGTATTCAGATTTGACAGACAAACATTGTCAAAATAAAAACGAGCACGCGTAGAAACATATTCTTTCTCACTTATTAAATACATGCAAATTGAGAAAAGTAACTCAAACACAATGTATTTAATTGATAAAAAAAATTGCCTAACGTTATCTTTTTTTTTTATTCAATTATTTATTTAATTATTTATCGATTTGATATATGCATCATAGTCGAGGTTTATCGACAATATGAAAATGTTTTATAAAGCATCAATAACTATAATCGACGTTCGTTAAATATTTGGTAAAGGTAAACTATTAGGCACCCGGTTTGCGCATTCCAGAAGCCGGCTTTAAATTATGATAACAAGACACTTTCGGAGCGTACAAACACGAGATTTGCTGAGAATACAGAAACAAAGGCACGCGATTGGGCGCGTTTTTCTAGATTGCCGCGGATCATATCACCGCAAACGGGAAAGGAAAGCGGAGCTGGTCCAGGCCCAAGTTACATCGTACATCAACTTAACTTACCCTAACCTTCTAGCGTGATGATCCTTTGGGATGCGCGGTCGTGCCTCGTCCCTCTGACTGCACGGAGATGAAGGCACGCGTCCTTGCACGCGCGCGACGCGAGATGCACGTAGAGTAGTATCACGCACGAGTTACGCGACGGCGTAGGCATCAATGGATAGTAGGAGAGACGCGTGAGTAACGGTATGTCTTAGCCATGTCGGGAGAGAAGCGAGATGGTGGGAGGGAGGGAGGGAGGGAGGGAGAAAAGGAGAGAAACAAGACGAGAGGTGGAAGGGGGAGAGAGAGGAGACAGCACGAGATTTAACGCGCGCACGCACCGTGTCGATCCAACGAGACACCGCCTGAACCCCGGTTCACCCGTTATCGTCGCGATCGGTGTCAACTCCAATCCACTCTTTGTCGTCGACAACATGTAAAAAACGAAATATACCTCTCTCACCCGTATATCCACGCCATACCCCACGTAGACGCTAAACTGTACTGCGCATAGTATCGTCTCTCGCGCCGTCAGCGCGAACGGCGTCGATAGTGTCATCTTGCGTCAGCTGATGGAAACCGTATGCGAGAGTTTGACAAGTCGGTAACCGCTACGATCGATAATTCAATTTCACTTGATAATTGTGAAAAGTATCGCGACGACGTTACTGGTTCTCTCTATTTTAGATGGCAGTAAAATGCAGAAATGACACGCGCGCGCGATAGCGATAGCTCCGATTACTCTGATTATCCTTATCCGTGACGTTGCTTGTCAAACGAACTCGTACGTTCCCGCTCGTTCGTATCTGTTATCGTCGGTTTATACGCACGATCGCGTTATTCCGGCGCGCGGCAGGAAATATGATAATTACCCGTATGGTTTAGTCCACGCCGTTTGATAATAACATGCTGTTAATATATGATAAGCTGCGCAAGTCTGCAGACTGCTTTAACGTAAGACTCGCCGGGCTAATAATCGTCAACGGATCGCGAAGGATTCACGATCGCGAGGAAGCGTTAAAAATGATACATGTGTCATTGTAGAGTAATCTAATAATCTCTCCGCTTGGCCTCGACAAGAGTTTCATTTTATTTTTACGAGTGTGCTATAAGAACCAGGTACGAATTCTGCTTCATTAAAAGTTTTATTATTGACAGTTGATCTTTTTCTAACACGATATCTCTCATCTGTTTCTCTGTACGTATTAAGCCTTTGTCAATTTTGATTAAAAATATCTGTAAATAATTTGATAAAGATTTATATTTATATCTTATAATTTATATTAGATTATTCTTTATATTCTTTTATATTATTTATTTTCTGTCATTAATATATACGTTTAATATATACGTTGAAATGTATTAGTTTTTATTATGTTGTTACAAATTGAGATTATATATCTTTTATGTATTTTTTCGTTATTATTTCTTATTCGAAATACACATGATCGATATAATATATTATTTTGGAAACACAAGCAAAGTAAAGTTTTAATATAACATAAGAAAAAGGGAAAGGTACATCTAACACTTCAACTTCTCTCATACAGCTAATATGACTGGAATATATCACTTGGGATTATACTTATTATTATTGGAAAGTTGCATTGGCAATTATGCCAGATGGGATATGCAACTGCTATGCTCGGATTTATATCCACGAGTATTCACGAGTTATTTACCTCGTGGCAATTTGACTGGTGGAACTTACACGCAGCAAATTCAATTGTCCAATTTACAGGACTGTGTTATGGCCTGTTGCAAGAAACCTCTGTGTAATGTAGCATTCATGCACAATAATACATGTTATCATGTAGAATGCGATAATTCCATGGTGTGTGTGCCATTGTATAGACCAGAATTAGCAAACGATAATCCACCGAGCATGGTACTGGTCAGACCTGTGGAGAATAACAAAATATGGAGTGACTTCTTAGATCAAGTTAACGATGACACTGTTGGGTAAGTTTCAATAGTAAGCAAATAAAGCATATATATTTAACATTTAAAAACTAGAGAACAACTATTAATTTCTTTTTTTCAAATGGTAATTAAATTAATGCAATTAAATTAATAGTAATTAAATTAAATATTAATGATTCTTTTCTTTAATACATCATTAATGACTCATATTTAGGACATTGAGTACAGATGGCACAGAACAGGATCAAATGTTATTTAATGAAGCAAACAAAATCAGTTGTATAGATCAATCAGGATGTCTAGATAACGAAATTTGTGTAAAACACGGGGAAACTGATGTTGGAACTTGTCAATGTCCTTTAGGCTTCAAACGGAATATCGCTGGTATGTTTTGTATTTTATTTAATTATTCATGCGATTTTATGGAATAGATATTTTTATATTTTTTATTTTTATAAAAGATATGAAAAAAAAAAGATACTTAAGTGGAATCATTAAAATAGCCTATCCTGTATATATTACATATATTAAATGTTTTAATTATATCTAACATGTTCTTTAATGTTTTATCCATTGTATCCATGTCATATTTAGAAAAAATTTTATGAATCTAAAATTAAAAATTTTTGAATTTAAGATTAAAATTATATTTTTAATCTCTTTACTGTTATAGGTACTTGTATAATGATGCATGAAATGAATACTGCTGAACTTGGTGTAACACCAGAAGCAAAATCTCAAACTATAAAAGACACTAATACATCAATTAAACCAACTATGAAACAATTGTTAGTCTCAGCAGTTTCTAAGGAAGTGAGATTACCAGAAAATGAAGTTACATTGTCTGCGTATACAGTTCCTGCAGTCAACCAGAAGGACACACTGGAACAATGACAGATCAGAATCGTGTTACCGTTAAATTAAGTAATTTATCAGAAGGCTTATATACATTTAAAGTAGCTGTAAGCAGTCCAAATGCTTATGGAGAAGCTTATGCCAATGTCAGTGTTTTACCTCGTGAGTGCTTTCTCTGTCTTCTCTTTTCCTTTTATTATAAGAATACATAATATCAATTATTACTCTCGAATTTTTATTTCAGCAAAACGTATCAACCAAGCACCAATTGCTATAATTACTCCTGCTTCGCAAATTGTGAAATTACCGAATACAGGCGCGGTCTTAGATGGTTCAAATAGTAAGGATGATGATCGTGTCATTTCTTATCATTGGGAATTGCAACAAGGCCCCATTGGATATCAGCCTAACCTTGTAGATACACCCACGCTTCAACTTAATAATCTTATTGCTGGCAATTACACATTCAAGTTAGTATAGCTCTATTATATTATTAACAATATTATATTTCAATCATGAACGATTATGTAACATAATATTTATATAACGCATAATCTTAAATACTTCAAAAAGTTTTTACTTCTTTATGTTCCTTAAATATAAAAAATATCAATATTCTTTATAAATCTTGATATATTTATTTCTCAGATTAACAGTCGAAGATTCAGATCATGTTACAAATTCGACAAATGCCAATATAACTGTTTTGAAAGTGACCGACTATCCTCCCAGTGCAAATGCAGGACAAGATGTTATCATTTATCTACCTCAAAATACACTGACGCTTAATGGTAACTTAAGTACTGACGATCGAGGAATAGCCAGTTGGGAATGGACGAAAAGTCCATCCGATCAGAATAAAGCAGTAGATATGCAAAACACAAGAACACCTTATTTACAATTATCAAATTTAGAGGAAGGAATGTATACATTTGTACTTAAAGTAACAGATGATTCAGAGCAATCTTCCTTGGCAGAAGTACATGTTTTCGTAAAACCTCCAACAAATAAACCACCAAAAGGTATCGTTATCATTTAATATTTCAAACATACAATATATATTAAAAATCGTTTGTATTTCGTTATAAAAGAAGAAATACTTGTAGAAAAGATTATCTTTTCTAATATACTTCTGGATACCAAGATTTTGATATAATCTTTCAAATAATATGAATTGATTCATTTTGTTGTAGCCGACGCAGGTGACGATATAAGCATAGCATTGCCAATAACACGCGCTGTTCTAAATGGTACAAAAAGTAAGGATGATATAAAGATTGTTTTGTACCATTGGGAACAAATAAGGTATGATATATCTAATTAATTTCATTCTTACATTATACATTTTGTGTGCTTTAAACTATCATATTAACATATATTTTTTTTGTGTTACAGTGGACCTAACAACGCAGAATTTGCCACAGTCAATGAGTCTGTTACAAACATTACAAAATTAACAAAGGGCGATTATGTATTCAAACTGACTGTTGTTGATGACAATGGAAATGCAGATTGGGATACAGTCAATGTGAAGGTAACACAAAGTATGTATTTTTTGTAATTATCATATACACATTGTATTACAAAATGTATATTACTAATACTAAAAATGTTATTTCCCAGATAAAAACGCGCCTCCAAAAGCGAATGCCGGTGGCGATCAAGTTGTGACAGCACCGATCACTGCATTAATCATCAATGGTTCACAATCGAGTGATGATCTAAGGATAGGACAATGGCTGTGGACCAGAGATCAATCTAGTCTTGCGATTGGTACTATAATTCAGGACACGGACAAATCACCAGTCTTAATGGTAAAACTAAATTTAATATATTGTTACATATATTGTAAAATTAGTATTATTTCACGTTTATGATAAGTCGATATATATATATATCTAGTCATTATAATACACATAAGTGCATACATCATGTCGCTTTCTTTTTTCCTGTAGCTAACGGACGTAGTTCCTGGTCGTTATGTTTTTCGATTAAAAGTAACAGATGATCAAGGTTTAAGCAGTGAAGATACTGTATCAGTAATTGTAAAACCTGGTTAGTAGTATAACTAAAAATAATATATTATCATTTCTTAATAGTGTAACTTTAAGAAATTAATCTCTTCTTATATTTTATAGATCCACAGTTGTTACATTTAGTAGAACTAACGCTAAACATTGGGGCTAGCATGTTAACTGTTTCACAGAAAAATTCATTAGTAGTGAAACTACAGATGTTACTACGAGACGAAGCTTCGATTGTCGTGCGAAATTTGAGGACCGAACCTCATACTGGAAAGGCTGTCTTAGTGTTTTATGTAGAAAAGAAAGGAGGAAAGACAACATTACCAGGTCCAGAAGTAGTTAAAAGACTGAAAGAAAAGTTACTCCAAGATTCTGGTCTTTTACAATTATCAGTGGCTAACATAGATACTGCTGTATGCCAAAACAATTGTTCAGGTATATAATAAAGACTATTACACATATAGCATTTTTTTATATCAAAATATATATAATATAAATACATATATTTAAAAATGGAACACTAAATTTTTATACATAAGTTATGAAAATAATATTTTTTTATATTGTATCTAGGTCACGGTGTATGCCATCAAGAAACAAGACAATGCCTGTGTGAAGCATTTTGGATGCAAAACTTAATACAAAAGTATTTTGGTAATGGCGACTCTAATTGTGGTATGTCAATTTTTCTTCATTTTATTATTTAATACAAAATGCACCTGTATGATCACTGATTATATCTCAATCATAACTATTTTTTCAGATTGGAGTATTCTGTATGTGATAATAGCATTGTTATCATTAGTTGTATGCTGGGTTGGACTTATTTGGGGATTTGTCTGTTTGTGCCAGAGAATATGTGCCGGTAGAAGACGTTCACTTCGGCCTAAGAAGAAACCAGCACGTTATTCTTTGCTACAACCAGAGCCAGAAGATGACAGCAGCGCATGTATGTAATTCTTATATAACCTTAGTAATTCTTTCATTATATGATCTCTAGAAGCTGGATAATAATAATAAATATTTTGCATTGTTACTAAAATAATACTATTATCCATTAGTACTATAAAATATTAAATGCAAAAAACAGGTTTACAGATAGATTTTCCCCCTTTTAATTTTTCTATAAAATATTGTTTGAATAATAAAGTTTTCTTGCTTAACATTAAATTTGATAGAAGAGTGTATCAGTTACACAAAATTTTAATAAAAAGTTTTTAGTTTAGTATTTTCTTGCTACAGTCATTTTAACAATTGTACTTTTACACCACATATATGCATAAAAGTATACTTGAATATAAAAAATTTATTTATTATCGAGTGGTAAAATAATTCTTATGTCGCAGTTTCAACTTACAACAAGATGGTGTTATCAGAATCCGACACTGATTCTGACGATGTATTATTTGAGCATCGTAAGAGTAAAAGCGGTAGTCATATAAGAAATGGTAAATCTCGAAATGGATTTATCAAAGTTGGTTCCCGAGTAAAGACATGAGGTAATAAACTTGATAACTTTACAATTTATGTAATAATAGACATTGAATTAAGATATGATTTTACATATTTCAGAAATACAATGATAATGCAAAGATAAATAGCGCACAGTCGTATGAATTTGGCCAAACTTAAAATACTAGTCATGAAGGTGTAAATTGTGACTTATGTACCTTATGAGAATGATACAATTGCTTCTCCAAAATCGGTATTGGTAAGAATGTTCTAAGAAGGAAGATGGAGTCCAAGCATATTGTTTATAGTTACGCGAGAATAATAACTTCACAATCTACGTCACATTACTTAATTCTAATTTTAAGTATTAATCAATTTTATTCTGTATTTTTATTATTGTGATCTTAATAGCGCCATTGATTACCGACCCGACGATATAAGCATATCGTCAAACTATTGAGAGCTTGTCCAAGTATTATATTATGGCCTTAGAAAGTATTTAAATTTTAAAGTCGATATGTATCAAACACTATTATATCTATATGTCGTTTATATGTACTGCGCTTACTCTTTAATATGTACATTATTGATCTTATTTTTACACTATATGGATACTAAATAAAATTTATTATCCATACGTACATATGTTTTGTTAATTTCTACATAGAAAACACATTTTTCCATAATTTCTCATATATCCATTTTACTCGTATATGCATTTTAATGTAATTTATAAATATTCTTGCTCATATTAATAAATAATTTTTTTAAAGAGAGAGATTCTCTCTCTTTGAAAAAAAATTTATTATATTGGGGAAAGCTTTCAACATGTAAATTATTGCAAATGTTTTGCAATAAACAATATAAATAAACAATAGATTTTTTTACATTTTACCGAATAGACAATTTAGATATTAATAGCATGCCTTTACAGCTAGTATAGCTAAAATCTTGTATTTCAAGGCAAGTTCCACGTTTTGGCTCGTAGCCTATATTTTAAAGTTATTTTTAACTCTCTATGCTGTGAATAAGTTTCAAATAGCAAGAAGATTGCATGCGGCCCGTTCATCCACTTTCGTATCTTTCGTTAACATTAATTTTGTTTGGTGAGTTATTCTATTGTGATTTGCCAGTGTATATTTATTGTATTCATAGTAATTTTATTTTAATGTGTAGCGTACTGTAATCGATGGATCTTATGAACTGTTCGGCGAAACGTTGTTCAAAAAATTGTTGCGGTCGCGAGGCTGCGGTAGATAGCGATCTTGGAAGCTGCGATCATATTTATGCAAGTTTGGTGGAATGCAAAAAAGATATAAATACTGAAGGTAATGTTGAACCAAAAACGACGACAAACAAACGGTAAGCGAAAGCTTCTATTCATTTAGATGATTAAACTTATATTTATAATTTATTATACTTTTATTGTTTTCTGATGTAAGCCACTTTTTATTGTTTTCAGCAATGAAGATTCCAGAAAAAAACATACTCCTCGGTTCACGAATTCAAACATTCTTACATATCAGCCTTCGCCCGTTTTCCCTCGCAAAATGGACAGCGAAGTCTATGAAGAACCGAAAGAAATAACAGATCCATATAAATCGCACGATCTAGACTTTCAATGTCCTAGATGCGGACAGAGAATGGAAGAACCTAGACTTCTTCCTTGTTTACATCCTATATGTTTATCGTGTGTTTACGAGTTAATGAGTAAACGTAAGTCTGAATTGGCGCGAGCAAAATTTTAGTTTATAAAAAAAGGACAGTTTGACATTCCCAATTGATGCAATTGCTCATAGTTTTGGCTGCACTATGTTCAAAAATTATTTAACTCGTTATAAAGACATCTTCTATATTTTTTTATAGCTTCGTATGTTTCACTGAAGAACGAAATACGGAATAATAATCGAAAGTATGTGCAACACAATATTTACGAAACATGCCCGTTATGCGATTCCGATTTGCCGAATATTAATTCTACCATACCGCCGCCGCATTATCCCTTGCAACATCGTTTAGTTATGGATACTGTGCGGCGCAAACTGGTTAATAGAGTACTTTGCGACACTTGCACAAGCGAAGTTCTGGTAATACGAGATCTAGATATTATTATATAATATATATATATATATATATATATATTTTATATAAAATCTAGTTTTCAAATGTTTATTATTATGGTCAGTTATTGTTTTCTTGATCTCATTATGTTGCAAAATATGATTTTATATGCGTCTATATACGCGATAATAAAACAATATCAGAAAGATCACATAAAGAAATATTCCATAAGAATTGCGCAGGAATATTTTATAGACAGATTCTTTTCCACGTTACTTTTTTTTAAGGCACTCATACAGTGTTCCACATGTTTACGTAATTTCTGCTCGGAATGCGGCAGACAACACGAACAACAAAATGTGGCAGAAGCAAGAACAATTAAACATTTAATGAGACCACTGTGGGAGGCTACCAAAATACGACGGGTCATTTTATGTCAAACACATCCGACGCACGCTTTAAGATTTTATTGTATCGCGTGTCAACAGGTCAAAAATTCTCTTTCTCTATATGCACGATACTTTTTAAAACAAAAATGCAAATACAACATTAAGAGAAACAATTAACTTCAAATAATTAAGATTTAAGAAAATATTGATATTTTCTTAAATAATTATATTTATCGTTTGAAGTCGACTCAACTAATTTTGATTCATTATACTTTATTATTAATGATTTATATAATTTGACTAGACTATATATATAGACCATGATATAAAATTTTCAGGTAACATGTAAAGAATGCATGTGGAGTGCACAGCACAGAGGTCATGCCAGTGAAGATGCACTTGGGGTGGGAAAAAGGGCTAATGCATACTTAATTACAATGTTGCAAAAAGCGAGAATATTTCTAAATACTTTGTTGATTCAATATAATCAGGATGTATTTTCAAACAATGGTTCCGACGAACTGCAAAATATAGCCACGACTTACAGGTACGTATTTATATAGTTTTATTATTAATATTTTATAGATTGAAATTTATAAATTTAAATATTATTATAATCAAATGTGTGATTATGTATTTGGCACATGTGTAAAAGCGCCCTACAATATTTTTTTTTAAATTTATAATTTTTTACTCTTTAATTGTAATTATTATTACAAAGGTATATATATGTATAATCTGTATAGTATATATACATAACAATTCAATACATAGGTCTCTAAACAAAAGTCGATGCTTGTTAATGTTAATATATTATAATATACAATTGTCATGTGATTAATATGGAAATAATGAGCAAAAAAAGAAAACATAATGAGGTAATTGTCATTTGAGGTATATAAAACCATTATACATTCCAAAGATTTGATTAATGCAAACTTGGGTATACTTTGTTAATATTATAGCAACAAAGTTATAATATCGCGATCAATATGTAATTTAGTATATATTTTATCTAAGATTAGAGAGTTAAGTATATTGTATTATTTGTAATTAATTAATAAATGTAGATGTGCAAGAGATCCTATTTTTACATGGAGTAAAATTAAGGTAAGACAAAAGATACAATACTGTTATTGTATTTTCACAATCCTCCATGCACCTTTTGTCTAAAAAAAAATTTGAAAAAAGAAATGTTTAATTAAATCGGCTCAGGAATTATGTATTGCAATCATTGTTATTTTATCAAACATTTCTGCATAATGTTAAGGTTACTATTTTAATTTTGATTGCTGTTATAAACCATCACAAAAATGCAATGCATTAAATGGTAGTAAGATAGGTTTTCTTGTATAAAAAAAAATTTTATATAATACTAACAGAGAATAAAAGTCTAATTAAAAAGAAAATTGCATTTTTGAACATATATTTCAAAAATCATAAAATGTAGAATGTATAATTGTTGGCTCTTATCTCATATAAATGTAAATACTTCATTTTCAGAATTAAATATATTGAGAACTATGATTTATAAACAAAATTTCTACCAAAATAAAGCTAGTTTAAAATTATAAAAAAATAAAAGCTCAACTATTTAATTTTATATTTATTTCAACAAGGTTCTTTGAATTTTAGTGATTAAATATTTGTCATTTTTGTTCAGATCAAATTTTCTATATCTAGAGATGAATGTATATAACTTTGATTTATAAATAATATTTGTACTACTTTTGTATAATTAATATACTTCTAATTAAAGCTGAAATATATCTAAGAGAGAGAGAGAGAGAAAATGAAATATTTTATATATTCAAAAGACATTTTTATTAATTTATTGAGACTTACAATGTCAGTTGATGCATAGTTTTTCGTATCATTAAGCAGCGTCCATTACGTAATATAGATCCACAACAAGACCAATGGTCAACACCTGGATGTCCAATGTGTCCATGACCACAACCTTTATATCCACCTTTAAAATGAAATAATATATTATTTTTACTTATTTCTCTAAAACTTTGTAGGATTTATTTAATATATTCCATTACTACTATTTAGAGACTATTTGTGATCAGTGAAATTAATTCTTACCAGGCATGGTACCTCTACAGCCACAAGTTATTTCCTTTTTTCCACCGCTAGAACAGAATGTGCAGCAATGATAAATACCACTGTGCATAAGTCTCAAAGTAGGTAGCCTGCCATTCTTGTGCCAACGTTCTGTAGCAAAATATAATACATATTACTTTCCATTCAGAAAACTTCAAACAATATCGAGTACTGCTTACCATCTTCTTTATCCATTGTTACATTTGTCACACCTAATTTATTTAATCTTCTTACTATTATTCTAGCAAGCGTTAGTATTTCTATTTCAGAACCATCAGCAAGTAAATCGTTTACCAGCGAAATAGCATCCAGAAGATGCCTCGCTCTTCGTAATCGATCAAATTCTCGAATTCTTTCCTGAGCCTGTTTCATATGAAGCAACAAAACTTTGTAGTCTTGTAAATTTGGAAGATCTGCATTATTTTCAGAATATCTGTATATAAAAAGAATCCTTATTTATCTAAAGTAAAAAATAGTTATATAACAATAACAATTTTAAATATCTTATATAATATAAATATAAAAACTTATATTATTATATATAATAAATTACTGCATAAAAGAATCAGTTAAAATGGTAGAAATAGATTTTAACAAAAATTGTATGTTGACTACATGGATTATTTCACTTTTATCATATACTCAATACATAAAAAGTTATGAGACATTATGCATAATATATTTTACTTTAAGCATTGTCATGTGATTTTCATCTTTATCTTAATATCTTGATATATATACACTGTCACTTAAGTATATAAATGCGCAAGATAAACGCATCTTATTGTCATTTGAGGTATTGATATATTATTAGA